GTGGTCAAGACATGAGACAAAGTATATGTGAACTGCTGTATGGAAAGTGAATTTGCTCTGTAAATCTTCACCCAAATCACAATAAATAAAATAAAATTAAAAAAAAAAAACCATCTGAATATGAAGTGATAACAAAAGTGTTGGTGGACAGACATTGTGAAGTATAGAATAAACAAGGCAGAATCAGTGAACTGGAATGAATGGAAATAAATCAGAAGATCTTGTACTCATAATGGTTAAGGAAGAACAAGGAAACTAACATTTAATTGGTGGCCTATTATTCATCAGACATTTCCCCAGATTCCCTAAACTGAATTTAAAACTTCTTTTGTCTCTTATCACATTCTATGAAGGATCATGAGATACATTTTATTATCTATTTTATGCAAAATGAAACAGGGCCCAGAAAGGGTTGTAAGTAACTTGTCTAACGTCATAGCTGGAAAGAGGTGAGATCCTGTCCAATAGCTGGCATTATCTAAAAAATGTTCTCTGGAGCAACTGTATTACTGAATAAGTTTAAGAAGCAATATGTCAAATTTTACCCAGTTTCTAAGCGTCAGGTTTTCTCATGCCTTAAATTAATATGCTTTGTGAATCTCTGAGACCCAGCGACTTTTTGCAAACTCCTCTGACTACACAATGTTCTTTCCAGGGTGGCTTTTACAGGAATAATGAGCACTAGTGGTGAGGTGGTTAAGGCATTTGGTTGCTAACCAAAAGGTTGGGGGTTTGAACCTACTAGCCACTCTACAAAAGGAGAGACAGTCTGATTCTGTAAAGATTTATAGCCTTGGAAACCCAAGGGGGTCACTAGGAGTCTGAATCCACTCAATGGCAGTGAGCTTTGTTTTTTCTTGGTTATTACGAGACTGCAGTCCCTGGGTAGCATAAATGGTTAACACATTCAGCTACTAACCAAAATGTAGAGTCAAGTTCAACCAGTGTTCCTAATAAGAAAGGTCTGGTGATGTATTTTAAAAAAACAAAAACAAAAACAACAGCCATTGAAAACTCTGTGGAACACAGAGTTCTACTCTGATACACATGGGGTTGCCATGAGTTAGAATCAACTCAATAGCAAGGCACTTGACTGCTAACCAGAAGGCTGATGGTTCAAACCCACCAGCAACTCCTCGGAAGGAAGGTTGGGCAATCTACTTCCAGTGATACTGCCTCGGAAACCCAAGGAGGGGTCGCTATGAGTTGGGTCCAACTCGACAGCACATAACAGCAACAACAACAACAGTAACTAGTTTTTTGTTTGTTGTTTTATGGGACTATCATTTCCTGAAACACATTTGAAAGTATCATTCTACACATGATGTCTTATGAAGGAGCTAATGATGTCTTACAAAGGAGCTACAGGTAGGAACTTAATATGGTACATTTCAAGTCACTGATTCATTTTTTCTTCATTTGATTCTCATATTATGTTGTGAATTTGGTAGAACAGGAAATTTAATCACATAACCAATTAGTGATGGCTCAAGGATTAGAAAACAGGGCTACTAACTCAAAATTTCTCGGAAGGAAAGTTGGGCAATCTACTTCCGTAGTGCTACTGCCTCGACAACCCAAGGAGGGGTCGCTATGAGTCAGGTCGACTCGGCAGCATATAACAACAACAACAACAAACAACAACCATAACCCAAAATTTAATGCTAAGAACCACAGTTAAATACCCGATCCAGAAGAGAAAAGCAAAGGTATTTAGAATCAGTAATTTCTAACCTTTTTGAGATCGTGAAACCTTCGGTGAATCTGAAAAAAGATATGAATTCCCATTCCAGAAAAAGATTGCTAGCCCATATATGTTAAATATGCATATCATTTCAGGGGATTCAAGAGGTCCAAGTTAAGAACCCCCAGGCTAGATTGAAGCCCCTGCTACAAAGGAAGAACTAATAATACTTTAGTTGTCTGAGAAAGGACTCTACTTACCACTCTTAAGCAACTCTGGTCATCTTCCCACCAAGATAGGGATTTTAACCTGATAGTTTGCTCAACATGACTTTACCTTTTGGCATTTTTGTCTGAGGCATCATGTACAGACAGCGGGGGGATGGTGTTCTCATCTAAGCGAAATCGTAATCCCTGGATTATTAGTGGAGTAAGCCATGATAGCGTGAGATAGGAGAACAGGCCAGCATCATCCAGGGGCTGAGGGGCAGGAAACCTAGAAGAGAGTTAAAGAGCAATGTAGTCTTTGGACACAGACTTTGAGATGGAACCTTAAGTCAAGGTTAAGACTTTGAAAGTATGAATTTTAACTATACAAAAACCACAGTGTGGTCATCCGCATGCACATGGTATTTTTCTTCATGACTCAATTATATGTGATACTTAAAAACAAGAAACAACAAAAACATCAATGCAGAGGGAGAGAGAAACTATGGTACATCCACACTATGGAATGTGATGAGGATATTTCAAAAATGAGTTTATCCGTATATAGAACATGGAAAGAGCTCCAAGCATTTTAAGCAAGGGAAAAATAAAATAAAATAAAGGCCACATGTAGATCAAGAAATTCCATGTATTTTTTACTTTTTTTTTTTTTAATAAAAGGGTAAGGTATAAAGGAGGTGAGGCAGATAAAACATTGTTGTTAGGTGCTGTGGAGTAGGCTCCAATTCATTGCAACCTTGTCTACAACAGAATGAAGCACTGCCCTGTCCTGCACCATCCTCACAAGTTTTGCTATGTTCTAGCCCATTGTTGTACCCACTGGGTCAATCCATCTTGTTGAGGGTCTTCCCCTTTTTCTCTGACCCTCCACTTCACCAAACATGATATCCTTCTCCAGGGAATGATCCCTTCTGACAACATGACCAAAGTAGGTGAGATGACACCTGGTCATTTTCACTTCCAAGGAACATTCCGGCTGCACTTCTTCCAGGATAGATTTGTTCATTCTTCTGGCACTCCACGGTATTTTCAGTATTCTTCATCAATACCACAATTCAAAGGTACCAACTTTTCTTCAGTCTTCCTTATTCATTGTCCAGCTTTCACATGCATATGAGGCAGATGAAAATACCACAGCTTGGGTTAGGTGCACCTTAGTCTTCAAAGTGGCATCTTTGTTTCTTAACATAAAACATTATAATGTTTTAATATCAAATTATTTATAGGGTTCACTTTGAAGAATGGGTTGGAATTGACAAAGGAATAGCAAAAGGAGATTCTCATTGTTTTATTATTTCCATGTTTGGCTCAAATGAGACTGAAAATGAGAAAAAAAAGCTGCAAACATCCATTAATAATTGGAACATGGGATGAACAGAGTATGAATTTAGAAAAATTGGAAGTTGTTGAAAATGAATGCATAAAGACCAATATTCTAGGCATTACTGAGCTGAAATGGACTAGTGTTGCCATTTTTAATCAGACACTCATATGGTCTATTATGCTGGGAATGACAAATTGAAGAGGAATGGTGCCACATTCATCATCAAACAGAACATTTCAAAATCTACCCTGAAGTACAATGCTGTCAGTGATAGGATAATATCCATATGCCAACAAAGAAACCAGTTAATATGACTATTATTCAAATTTATGCATCAACCACTAAAGCCAAAGACAAAGAGATTGAAATTTTTATCAACTTCTGAAGTCTGAAACTACCCAACAATGCAACAAAGTTGTATTGATAATTACTGGTGACTGGAATGCAAAAGTTAGAAACAAAGAAGAAGCATCAATAGTTGGAAAATATGACCTTAGTTAACGAAATAACTCCAGAGATCACATGACAGAATTTTGCATGACCAACAACTTATTCATTGCAAATACCTTTTTTAAACATCATAAACGGCCACTGTACACACAGACCTCACCAAATGGAATACACAGGAATCAAGTCGACTACATCTGTAGAAAGAGGCAATGGAGAAGCTCAATATCATCAGGTGGAACAAGGCCAGGGGCTAATTGTGTGTCAGGCCATCAATTTCTAATACGCAATTTAAGTTGAAGCTGAAGAAAATTAAAACAGACCATCTGAAGAATAGATTTGCTGCACTGAACACCAATGACTGAAGATCAGACAAGTTGTGGGGTGGCATCGAGAACATCATACATGAAGAAAGCAAAAGGTCATTAAAAAGACAGGGAAGGAAGACCAAAATGGATGTCAGAAGAGACTCTAAAATTTGCTCTTGAAAGGAAAGTAGTAGAAGAAATTATGAAGTTAAAGATCTAAACAGAAAATTTCAAAGGTCAGCTGGAGAGGACAAAGTAAAGTATTATAATGAAATGTGCAAACACCTGAACATAAAAAAATCAAAGGAGAAGAACATGCTTGGCATTTCTCAAGCTGAAAAAACTGAAGAAAAATTCAAGTCTCAAGTTGCAATATTGAAGGATTCTATGGGCAAAATATTGAATAATACAGGAAGCATCAAAAGAAAACAGAAGGAATACATAGTCACTGTACAAAAAGAATTGGTTGGTGTTGAGCCATTTCAGGAGGGGGCATGTGACCAAGAACTGAACTGATAATATTGAAGGAAAAAGTGCAAGCTGCACTGAAGGAATTTGCAAAAATGAAGGCTCTGGGAATTGATGGAACACCCATTGAGATGTTTCAATAAACAGATGTAGTGCTGGAAGTGCTCATTTGTTTACACCAAGAAATGTGGAAGACAACTATCTGGCCAACCAACTGGAAGAAATCCGTATTTGTGCCCTCTCCAAACGAAAGTGATCCAACAGAATGTAGAAATTATTGAACTGTATCATTAATATCACACCCAAATAAAATTTTGCTGAAGATAATTAAAAAATGGAAGATAATTTTTTTAAAAAGCAGTACATTGACAGGAAACTGCCAGAAATTCAAGACAGATTCAGGAGGACATGGAATGAGTGATATCATTGCTGATGTCAGATGGATATTGGCTGATGGCAAAGAATCTCAGAAAGAAGTTTACCTGTGTTGTATTGACGATGCAAAGCCATTCGATTGTGTGGATTATAACAAATTGTCCCATTGGGAAGAATGGGAATTCCAGAACACTTAATTGTCCTCAGAAGGAACCTGTATGTACATAGACCAAGAGGCTGTAGTTCAAACAGAAGGAGGGAATAGTGTATGCTTTAAAATCAGTGTGGATTATACCTCAACAAAGAAAACAAAAATATTCACAACCAGAATGTGGTAGTTAAGTTTGTGTGTCAACTTGGCTAGGCCTGATTGAGTGGCTGGGCAGCTGGATGTAGTATTCCCCATGATGAGACTGGTAATAACTCCATGGTGGAATCTACTGTGAGCAGCTGAGTAGCTGCCTTAGGGATGTGGTCTGTTTCCTGTATATAAGGAGAACCCTTGGGAAACAGTCTCTAGCTGATGGCACACTTGAACCCTGCATATAGCCATGTTGTTGTTCAGAAGCCTGCCATGCTCTACCAACCTTGGGACTTTCAATGGATTTGAATTAATGGCCTGCTGTGTGGTTTGATAACATCAGGACTGTGCCTTTTTACTTGTTAACCTTGGGCTTGTCAGTCTCAGTAGCCAGTAGCTGTCTGAGTGAAGAAAAGCCTTCAGCTCCAGTGGGCTGGGAGTAGGAGGCAGAGCTGAAGCCCAAGATTGAGGGGCTTTCACCCACCCCCTAGAGCCTGGCACTTTGAACTCAGACTTAAAGCCTCCAAACTGTAAGAGAATAAACTCCTATTTGTTAAAGCCATCCCATTTGTGGTATATTCTTGTCAGAGCAGCACTAGGTAACCAGAACATGGACCAATAAGCAACATCTTGATAAATGGAGAAAATATTGAAGCTGTTAAGGACTTAATTTTACTTGAATCCACAAGCAACACCCATGGAACCAGCAGTGTAGAAATCAAACAACATATTGCATTGGGCAAATCCGCTGCAAAGGATCTCTTTAAAGTGTTTAAGAACAATGATGCTGCCCCAAGCCATGGTATTTTCAGGAGCTTCATATGCATGTGAGAGCTGGACAGTGAATAAGGAAGACTGCAGAAGAATTGATGCTTTTGAATCATGGTGTTGGTGAAGAATATTGAGGGTACCATGGATGCTTGGAAGAATGAACAAATCTGTCTTGGAGGAAGTACAGCCTGAATGTTCTTCAGAAGTGAGAATGGCCAGACTTCATTTCTCTTACTTTGGTCACGTAGTCAGAAGGGACCATTCCCTGGAGAAATATATCATGTTTGAGAGTCAGCCAAAAGGGGTAGAATTCAATAAGATGGATTGACACAGTAGTTCAATGATGGGCTCAAGCAAAGCAATGATTGTGAGACTGTGCAGGACCTGGTAGTGTTTCATTCTGCTGCATGTGAGTCAGAACTGACTAGACAGCACCTAACAACAACATATTTTGATTATGTGAGTTTTACAAAAACAGTAAAAATGAAATAAAAAATAAATAAAAAGATGTGACTGTAAGGTCAACCTGGGGATGAATCAAAAATGCAGAAAAAATTATTGGACTATGGTGTTGTGATTGTACGTAATTTTTCTCCGGTTATTTTTTTTGTTTCTTTCTTTCTTTCTTTCAAAATTGCCTTTAATGCTATGTATTTTGATATGAAGAAAAAAATCTATTAAAAAAATACTTGGGGAGAAAGATAGGAAGGAAAAAATATCAGACTCAGGAAATGTTTTTCTTGGCTCTGCTCCACTCTCAGGCCCTTTAGGTGAGGGTTGTGCATCTGGGCGAGGCTGGCCACATTTGTGCCAGAGATGTCAGAGAGAACAAGAACTGAAGGGTGAGAAATTGCATCATACATGTGGGGCCAGTCTGGGCTCACCAAAGATAGGATAGAACCTATGAGCTAGTTTCAATGTTCCAAAGGCCCAACAGAAACACGATGTTTATCTAAGATGATGTTGCCCATGTGAACTAAAGTACCAACGTTCTTTTTTCTTGTTTAGACTAGTTCAGTGTAATATTGATCAGAAGCTCAGATTTTAAAGGTGGAGGGTGGATGGTGGAAAATGCGGTTTGTTGGTAGATTAAATCTTAGATAACATGGTTGTTGTTGTTGTTGTTATGAGCTGTCAAGTCGGACCCGACTCATAGTGACCCCTCCTTGGGTTTCCAAGGCAGTATCACTACAGAAGTATTTTATCCAACCTTCCTTCTGAGGAGTGGCTGGTGGGTTTGAACCGCCAGCCTTCTGGTTAGCAGTCAAGTGCCTTAGGCCCTATGCCACCAGAGCTCCTAGTAGAAAGTATGTTGTTGTTGTTGTTTGCCGTCGAGTCGGCCCCGACTCATAGTATAGGGAGTTTTAAATACAAAGTGGACTGTTGGTGATGAAATGCTGAGGAATCAAACTACATGGGTGTTAAGGTCCCATCAATGAATCAATGAATGTTTAGGGAAGCATGATTTTGTGGAATTACCTTGTGATACTTAATTTGTCAACTTGATTTCTAGTGGTTTGGTCCAACACTAGATTATCTGCTGTTCCATAATGTCATGTCATGTTACATCATGTAATCATCTTCCATAATGTAGTAAATGTAATTAATCAAGCAATTGAAAGATGAACAATTGAAAGACAAGTAAGGATGCCTTACTGTGGCCTGTGGGGACCTAAATGATCCTCTGACCTCTGCCTGCCTCTTCAGCCTCATCTCATGTTATGTCCTTTATCACACATGACTCTCCAGGGGTACTCACCACCTTTCAAGTTCTCGGACATATCATAAGGTGTTTCTTCCACCTCACAGTTAGGTCTTTGTACGTTGTTCCCCTTGCCTAGGTCATTCTTCTCCAACTCTCACCTAGTAAATTTTTGTTCATCCTCCAGGTCTCAGCTGAAGCGTCACTCAGAACTGTCAAGCTGTCACTATTCTATTGTCTTTCAGGACCTCACACTTCTTCACAGTATCTTCTTCAAACAGCTTGCAATCACATTATTTAAGAGTTACTTGCTGATTGTCTTTCTTCCTGTGTGAGGTCCATGACGGCTAAAATTACATATATTGTGCTCAGTGCTATACCCGGCTCCAGAGCCTAACACAGTACCTCGCACATGTGGATGCTCAGTGAATCCTTGCTGGATGACTGATTGGCTGTGCTGAGATGCGTCCCCTGATGTGTCTCAGGCAGCTCTGGAGCTACTTGGTGGGTGACATGAGTGTGTAGACACCTGGTTATGCAACCTTTGGGAAGGATCTAGGTGTGCAGGTCTGGGGATCCTTCCTCAGTGAGTACTGCCCCTCACCTCACCCTCATGACTCACTTTGGCTTGGGGCGGATGGGAATCATGGTTCTCCAGGTAGCATCATATTTCCCCCAGGGAAGGACATCCTTTTTTCCCAGCACCTTTTGTTTCCTCTCCTGCTGGCTCCAGGGACCATCCTTGATGGTATAAGTTTTCTTGGGAGAGAAAAATGAAAAGGGCAACCTTACCATTCTCAGATCTCATAAATACTGTCCTGAGGGAGTGTGAGACTGGCTGTACCAGGGGAGATGAGTCTTCCTACACACAGCTTCCTAACGACAGGCTGTCTGGAAGGGAATGAGCACTGGGTCAGGAGTCAGGACTGCTAGGCTCAGCTCTGGAGCTGTCCCACCCTTGTTGGGTAATACTGGTCAGGCCACTCAGTGCCTCTGGGTTTTTATCTATCCATAAGCAATTTTAGACAAAGATATAGGGCGTTACAGTTAGTTAACCCCAGAGTGTGAGACTGAGTCACCCTCTGAGGGTAAACCTAGTAAACAAGGAAATCAATAAGTAAAACAGTAAATCCTGAGATATTACATATTAGCCGTTTGATAAAGTTGGAAACAACTAAAATTTTAAAAGATACACAATGTCTAGACTTCTTATAGAATAAATAATACTATTTTAAAAGCATAGCAAGAGAATGATGGAAAAAGGTTCTGGAAAGTGATTACTTCAGGAAGGGAGAGTCAGGGAATGAGATGAGCAAAGATCAATAGCTGGATGTAATTGTCAAAGTCCTAGCAGGTGTGTTGGTGATGGGTTTATATGTGCTATGAGTCTGGTCCGATTCCATGGCACATAACAACAACAACATTGTATTATTATAAAAGGAGCTGTGGTGGTGTAGTGGTTATGGCATTTGGCTGCTAATCCAAAGGCTGGTGGTTTGAACCCACCAGCTGCTCCATGGAAGACAGTTGAGACAGTCTGCTTCCCTAAAGATGTATAGCCTTAGAAACCCAACTGGGGTCACTATGAGTCAGAATCAACTCAATGGCAATGAGTTTGGTTTTGAGTTTATTGTATTAGTATAAGTAAATAAATAGATAGATAGATGGACAGATGAATGGATAGATGGATGGATGGACAGATAAATAGGTGGATGGATAGTTGGATGAATGACTGGAGGGATGGGTGGATGGATAAATAGATAGATGAGTAGATAGGTAAAAGGCCATGCATGAACCATGAAGGTTTGATTAATCTAATGGTGGGTACTGAGGTTCACTATAAAAAAAAAATCAAGGTTACATTGTTTTACCTAATTTACAACCCTTAAGGATATCTTTCCAACTCACTTTCCTGGTATTTTAATGTTAAGATCTACTTACATAGCTAAGTCCTGAAACCATGTCATCACTTAGGTCCATGCCAAGATTCACAAGGCCACCAGAGCCGTCAGGGACCCAGTATGTCCTCCTTCTGGTCATTTTCAGTTACTTTGCCAATTCTCTGTTTCCTAGAATCGGTGATCCTGAAAAAGCAGCAGGTAGGAGCAAGTTAGATCCAGGCAGCCCAGAGAGGGAGACATCACTCTGCAGGGCCACATAGAGGTCTGGGTTAGTGTCACCGTTGTTTCCTCTGCCTGCAAAGTGCCAAACTGCTTCTTGGTTAGGCTTCTACTTAGGTATCAATCCAGGCACACGTTGGGAACTCTACACCCTCCCCACAGTCCTGTTCTTAAAATCATGCTCCTTTCCTTATCTCAGCTTATAATTATACATTTATTAGTCATAAGGTTCATTTCCTGCACTACACAGAGAGCCTCAGGTGGACAGGGACATGTCTATTTTGCTCCTTGTTGAATTCCTGGGGCCTGGCATCATGCTAAGAGAGTAGTAGATGCTCAATAAAAGATGTATGAATGTGATTTTGTCATTCTCTGACTCCTAGTTTCCGTAAACTTAGGGGTGTCTGCACACAATTTAAACCTTAAATAAGCAAGGCATTTGAAAGAATATATTAATATGCTTTTCATTTTTGCCTTTCTGAGTAGGTGACTTGTTCCCTGATTGACCTAGAACACCCATGCACCTGGGGCAGAAGAGGAGGTATAACTAAAAATATTACTGAAGGAATGGAAAGAGAAAGTGTGCAGCAGGCCCTGCTCTACGAGTATGCAACCTGTGCAGCCAGGGCCCATGGCACAGAAGGGCGCAGGCTTGCTTCAATGCACTGGGCCCCACAAATTATGTAATCAGTCTTCATGCTCAGATACAGCTTTTGATATTCACAACTTGGATTTTGCTTCAAGTGAATGCAGTTGCAGACTGGGTTATTGTCTAGGGAGAGGGTTCTATAAATTCCTTTATCCTACTTCCTCCCATCCCACCTCCTTTTAGCAAATCACAACCCAATCTGGTGGACTAAGGTCCTAGAATTCTCCTACAGAGCATTTGCAGGCTCTCCAGCATAGCCATGGCCATGAGATCTTCCTGCCACGCGCTGGTAGAAGGTGAAATCTTCAGGGATGGTGGAAAAGAGAAAAGAGAGAGAAGGGATTGTGTTAGGTAAGAGAAGGTGTCGTACATTCCTTGTTTAAGACACTGGGAAGAGGATAGTTTTCTGGCTGCCGTGACCCAACTTAGGACCTAGACACATCAAAGTAGAATTGGCATGGTTGAGTAACAGGCCCCAAGGGCAGGGCCACAATGTAATACTGTCAGTTTGTTCTCAGTCCTAGCTGAGGGCATAGGCTGTGGAGGAGGGGCAGAAAATTCCACATTGCAAGTCATGCACCCTGGCAAGGTCTGCTTCAGCAGTGTGCTGATAAATGTTTAACAATGGACTCTGTGGGGGGAAAAACAAAACACATATATATGTACATAATTTTATTATTCATTTTAAGGAAATGGGTGGCACACAATTTACAAATAATAACATGTACAATACTCTATTGTAAATTCCATATAGACAATTGATTCTCACAGAATACTTTCATTGATTTTTGTAAAACCCTTGTGCCTGTAGCTAAACTATGGCTACAATTGGGTGATGGGTTCCAACACAAGTATTGGTTGATATATTGCTTCATGTTCATGAAGGAGAGGAAAGTGAAACACCAAAGATCAATGTTGGTTGGATCTTCACTCATTTGTCATTTATGTAAATGACTTTGCTGAATCGTGTAATAGTTTTCAAATAGTGAAAGAACAGATGATTTGTGTGTGTGTGTATGTGCACGTGCGCTATTAACAATGGTTACAGTCACCATGCATTTTTAAGTTTATTCTGCATTATTTACAATTCCTGCATTTTATTCATGAGCCTTGACAAGCAACAAAATAATAATAAATCAACCATTGATTTGTAGCCTTGGCAACTTTCTGTGGTGTAAGTACTCCCACCATGGCTGATTTTAAGCTACCAAGACAACTTCACTGAAGGTGCAGTTGGGAAGAGGAGCTCAGTAAGACACCATTATATGGTGCTCGTACAATACAAATAAAATAAATGTAAATAACCCCAAAAGCATAAAATTAATTAGGATGTGATAAATTTTGAGTATTTGTTACCTTTGTTGGAAATTTTTTTACCTGTAAGTTTATATCATTTAATTTTTAATAATGTTGAACAACTGGACTCTAAAAATTTTACAGTTGGCTCTCATAAATCAGTATGAGCAGTTTCTAGGAGACCACTGCTAAGTCCATCTGGAGGAAGTGGTACCTTTTCTAAATTCTCCTCCTATGGTGAACATCCTTTTCCAACTCATCCACAGGTGCTCTGTGGACTAGTGGTGGTTGCACCTGAAGGTTTAGCTTTCCTGGCTCCTAGCTAGTGCAGGTGGAAACAAGAAGTAGCTGAAAGTTTGGGGGAAGGACTTGCCAGGGGAGGCAGAGTGGCCCACCCAGGCTGCATGTGAGTGGGAATCCTGAGAAGATCCTGGAGGGCAGTGTGGTGCCCAGTGTGGTGGGCAGGAGAGGGGAGGCCCAGCAACTTGGGGGGGGGGTACCACCAGGTCACAAGCAAGCCAAACAAACAGCACCTGAAGGCCTGAGCCCGATCCCACAAGCCTGCGATGATGGTAGGGTAGGCAATGACCAGGTAGACAAAAGACATCATACGGCAAGGCAGAGTAGCAGAGGATGCTGTGCACATGGCCTTGACTCTCCCTCTGCCAGGTGACAACCCTGAGAGTGAGCCTTCACTGGGCATTACTTCTAGTTACCAGTTACCATCAAGTTAATTCCAACTCATGGCAATCCCAGTGTACCAGAGTAGAACTGTGCTCCCAGAGTTTTCAATGGCTGGTTTTTCAGAAGTAGATCACCAGGCCTCTTTTCTTATGTGCCTTTGGGCAGACTCAGATCTTCACCCTTTCGATTAGCAGCCAACTACATTAACCATTTGTATCACTCAGGGACTCTCAACAATACTTAGACTATTTAAATCATTGCACGAAACAAGATTTTAAAACACCCAGACTCCCTGCCATAGAGTTGATTCCAACTGATAGTGACCCCCATAGGTTTCCAGGGCTATAATTCTTTACAAAACTCAATTGCCTCATCTTCGTCTTGAGGAGCACCTGGTGGGTTTGAACCACTGACCTTCTGGTTAGCAGCCAAATGCCTTACCCACTGTACCTCCAGAGCTCCTTACGTTTTAAAATAACTTGACTCATAGCAACCCCTCTTTGGGTTTCCAAGGCAGTATCACTTGGAAGTAGATTGCCCAATCTTCCTGCCAAGGAGTGGGTGGTGGATTTGAACTGCCAGCCTTCTGGTTAACAGGCAAATGCCTTAGGCACTATGCCACCAGAGCTCCTTTTAAAATGGCTAAGTCTAACTATTTATCTTCTCCTCATTAACCAACAAATGGAGGCTTATGAAGAAAACCAGATTATTAGAGATCAAAGAAATAAATTACATATATTTTTGTACCTTTCAGCTGTAGTATGATCTGCCAACCTGATTTATTTACATTTATTTATTGCAAGGAGGTACAACAGGGGTTTCACAGATATGACTCTTCTCTGGATGGAAATTTTCTGGTGAACTAATAAGGAGGAAAACGAAGCCAAATGAAAATTAGCAACATGCTAATGAGTATAATGGATATGTTTGTGGAACATGAATTGCACATCCCAACATAACTGGAGCTCAGCCACACATTAGCTTGGACCTCCTTCCACTTCCTTGACTGGGCAGGGGAACTCCCTCCAGAGAGTCCTTCAGCAGTTCTTAAGAAAATTTAGTGGGATCAGGATGGAGACCAGGACATGACTGGGAATAAAACAGATGAAACAGATACTGCCAGCCCTGTGTTCTCCCCTTCCCCTTGGGCAGAAGTCATAATTACAAGTGTGGTTTGCCTGTTTGCATATGGAAAAAACAACCTATGCACAGTGGAGGAAGGTCACCAGAGCAAGGTAATCTGTGCCAATGACTTTCTGGAATGGGTGGTTTATTTCCTCATTGTTCTTACCACTTACCCAGTGGGGCTTGATGTCAAAGACCAGGAGGTGCCCCAAAGAATAGGGAAGGTGACAGGGCAAGGGAGCGGAAGCATCTCCAAGCCAGGCCCTAAAGAAGTTTCAGTGGTTAGACCTTTCTCCTGTGCTTCTTCACTGCATTCCATGTGTTGTTCAACTTGCCTTGATCTTGGCTTACTTCTTTCTGCTAGCTCCAAATGCTTTTGGAAGTCAGCGACTGTCTATTTCCTCTGTTCCTGTCCACCTTGATCTCTGCACCAGTCCTAACCTGTCCTAAGAACATTTTCTTCCCAGCTCCTTGCAGTGCAGATTCATTCTTGCCATTCAGGTCTGAACTTAAATGCCACCTCTTCAAAGAAACCTTCCCAGACCTCCCTATCTACTGTTACACCCCATTCCTATCACTTCCTGCACATCTTCCTTTCTTACCACTTTCTAAAATAGCCATTTATTTTTTGTTGGCTTTTTTAAAATTTTCTACCTCCCTCACTTGAATGTAAGGAGCTCTCATAGTGTAGTGGTGAAGGCATTTGGCTGCTAACCAAACGTTGGTGATCTGAACCCACCAGTTGCTCCACAGAAGGAAGATGAGGCAGTCTGCTTCCATAAAGATTTACAGCCTTGGAAACTCAACAGGATCACTATGAGTTGGAATCAACTCCGTGGCAGTGAATGAGTCACTAGAATATAAGCTCTTTGAAACCAGAGACCTTACCCACATCTTGTTCACTGAGGTGTCCTTGGATCTAGAATAGTGCCCAGCACAAAATAGATGTTTAATAAGTATTTGTTTCATAAATGAATGAAGTACATGCAGAGCCTATTAAAGAAAGGACCAGGAAAGCCACACAGACACTGAAGAGCTCACATTTGGACTCGTGATGCGATGTCAAGTCAGTTGACAGAGATTTGCTGATAGCCTGGAAAGAAGGTGTCCATCAAGCAAGCAACTTAAACTTGGCCCTATTCCTGTGGTTAGATTGGATGGACAGGCTGAACGATTAGGTATGTTTATACAGGGGTGTGTGTGCCCATGACTATGTATAGAGTTGGCAATGTTTCTACAAGTGTATTTGTATGCTCTGTAAGAATTTCCAGGTATATAGTAGAGCTGACAAGGGACAAGGATGTAGTCATTTCTTGGCCACAGCCAGCTACCCAGAGGGAGCACGTAGTTAGACTTGTGGGCTCGGGACCATGGTTGCAGGGGACATCAAGCTCAATTGGCATAACATACTACACAAAAGCATTGTTCCATGTCTACTTTGGTGCGTAGTGACTGGGATCTTAAAAGCTTGCAAGCAGCCATCTAGATGCAACAATGGGTGTCTCCTCATCCAAAGCAAAGAAGAATGAAGAAAACCAAAGATTCATGGAAACAATTAGTCCAAGTGACTGGTACACCATATGATCCTCAGCCTACATGACTATGAGACAAGAACTGCATGGTACCTGACTACCATTGTCAAGCACTCGGAGGGGGATCTATGTAGGAGATCCTGGATAGAGAGGGAGAACAATGTGGAACAAAACTCAAAATCATTAAAAAAAAAGGGACCAGGTTTGCTGGGCTGATAGAGCCTGGTAGAACCCCTGAGACTATAGTCCCTAGCTGCCCTTCAGGTCTGGAGTTGAACCCACTCATGTGGCTTCCAACCAAACAAAAGACAGACATATGAGCTGAACCTTCACATTAGATAGACACACTCCTTGGAGAGATCAGTCATGGGAGAAAAGAAGGGTTGTGTATGCACAGGAGACAGCTTGGTGGGGCAGGAGTGCAGGAGGGAAGGACACAGGTAACCATGGAGAGGAAGTGGGAAGAGAGTTGTTGCATTGTGGGCAATTGCAGTCAATGACTTGAGACAAAGTTTTGTGACCTGCTGTATGGAAAATGAATTTGCTCTGTAAACTTTCACCCCCCCCCCAAAAAAAAAAAAACTTGGTCTCATTCCGATACCACACCACTGATAAGGCACAATGAATTCATATTTTTTAAAAAATATGTTCAGCAATCATTATGTGAGCAGAACACATTTTCATTGTTTGTTATTCTTGTTTTTGGCATGTGTGCTGAAAGCATTAAGCATAAGTGTTTTAAAAATATACTACAAAGCCTGTAAGGTTGTTTTAGAAGTTCTTTGTTAATACATTGGGAGCCTCAAAGAATGGGACCCCTCTCCTTGCCTTTGGAGAGGCCTTGGGGAAAAGGTAAGCTCTCATTGTCCTGGGCCACACCTATGTTATACCTGTATCATCCCCAGAGTCTAGCACAAGGTCAAATAAACAATACACATCGTGGAAATGAACGACAGCCTACTGATTCTACCCAGGATCTTCAGCTACCAGTTCAACTTGGGCTCACTCCTAGTGGCTCAGGCCCCAATCTAGGAGATTCCTTGACAACTGTTTTTCCTTCACTCATGTTTTGTTGAAGCTATATTCAAACATACTTTGAATCCACCTGCTTTTTGTCTATTCTAAGTCATCATCATCTCTTGTCTGGGCAACTGCAACCACCTCCTTACTTCTTATTTTAAACCTTTATATTCCAGTCTATACATAGCAACCAAAATGATGTTTTGAAAACATAAGCCAGGTAATATGATTTCTTGACTTGAAACTCTCCAATGGTTTCCACTGGGCTTAGAGTAAAATCCAAACTCCTTACTAGAAGCTACACAGCCCTCTAGAGCCCGACCTCACCTCTCTTATCTCACTGGGTACCCATCACTCTACATCAAGTTCTGTACATCCCAGGAATAGATTCCTCAAACATCGTAAATTCATTTCAACTGCATAGTCTTTGCAATTGTTGCTTTCTCTGCATAGGGCATCAACCCCTGGGCCCCTACCACCTGATCTTTGCTTGCTGGCTCTTCATGGGGCAAGACTCAGTTCACATGTCACGTCTTCAGAGAGGTGGTCTCTGACCATCTATTCAAAGGACTTGTCACTGTCCAAATTATTGTCCTTGTTTATTTCCTTGCTTATTGTTTATTTCCTCCATTAGAATATCAACACTATGAAAACAAGGATCTTGTTTATCGGATATATCCCTGGCACTTACAATAGTGCCCAGCACATAGTAGGTGCTTAAAAAAGTGTTTGTTCAGTGAATGAGTTTTAAAAGAAAGTGGAGCCATGCTAGAGAAAGAGGCTGGAGCGTGCCGAGTCCTCCATTTGCATCACTGTTACAGCACCTAGTACACCTGCCTCCTGCTTCCCCTTACCTGTTGCACACGTAGAAACATAGGTTTCCATTCTCCCCATCTCAGACTCAGGTGTCTGTGGGGCTGTTACTCTGACTGAGAAATGCTTAGAGCTTGTCTTATGTTCCCCTCTCTATCCCTGTGCACTCAGCATGGAGCTTGGCATTTAGCGGTCCCTCAACAAATGTCTATTGGTTTGAACAGACTTTCAGTTCCCTCTTGGATTTTGAGAGCATGGCTGGACTTCATATTTGGGTAAGATGGCCCCTCCTGTGCCTCACAGACAAACCAAAGTCAAATCCCAGCATGAAGGAGCTCCCAGTGGCTGGAGTGAAATAATTTGAGCAACAAAATAATAATGGTATCACTGGATTATAGAAAAAAGTAAATACTCATGAATCCATACTAATATAAGTAATTGAGTAAGTAAATTAATGGAGGAGAAGGGATGGCCCTTTCTTATAGTGGGATTCTAATTTATAAATGTAGAAGTTTCTCCCCAGGTGATACTTACTACTTACAAAGAATTAAACAGTGACCTACAGTGTTAAAACCCAGCAGATACCATGTGCACCAAGAGATCAAGGTTAAGATCACCACTAATGATATATTTCACCATTATGTATCACTAAGAAGAACACAAGGAGCTCTGGTAGCGTAATGGTTAAGGCACTTGACTGCTAACCAGAGGCTGGTAGTTCAAACCCACCAGCCACTCCTCGGAAGGAAGGTTGGGCAATTTACTTCCGTAGTGATACTACTTCAGAAACACAAGGAGAGGTTGCTATGAGTTGAGTCTGACTCAGTGGCAAATAATAACAACAACAACAAGAGCACAATATCACTTTTGTGGTATTCTTGCCAAAACTATGTAATGCTGATCATAAGAACACATCAACTAAATACAATTGAGGGAACAGTCTACAAAATTACTGGCCAATAGCTTCAAGGTTTTAAAAGAAAAAGGAAAAAAAAAAAGGAGAAATTGTCACAGACTAGAGGAGACCAAAGAGACATCACAACGAAATGAAAAATGGGATCCTGAACCTGAGAAAGGACATTAGTGAGAAAACTGGCAAAATCTGACCAAGGTCTTGCGGTAGTTATGTCTGTGTGTCAACTTGGCTGGGCCTGGCTGAGTGGCTGGGCAGCTGGTGGTAGTTATTCCCCATGAGGAGACTGGCAATCAGCTCCATGATGGGATCTAACACAAGCAGCTGAGTAGCTGCCTTTGGGATGTGGTCTGCTTCCTGTATATAAGGAGAAGCTTTGAGAATGGTCTCTAGCCTATGGCACGCTTGGACCCTGCATGTAGCCCTGTCGTTGCTCAGCAGCCTGCCATGCTCTGCTGACCTTGGGACTTACAATGGACTTAAGTTAGTGGCCTGCCCTGTGGATTGGTAACATCGGGACTGTGCCTTTTTATTTGTCAACCTGGGGGCTTCTTAGCTTCAGCAGCCAGCAGCTGTCTGAGTGAAGAAACTCCTCTAGCTCCAGTGGGCCGGGAGCCGGAGGCAGAGCTGGACCCCAAGGCTTGAGGGGCCTTCACCCAGCCCCTAGAGCCTGGCACTTTGAACTTGGACTTAAAGCCTCCAAATTTTAAGAATAAACTCCTGTTTGTTAAGGCCATCCCATTTGTGGTATATTCTTGTCAGAGTGGCACTAGGTAACCAGAATAGGTTATTTGTTGTTGTTGTTATGTGCCGTCAAGTCAAACCCGACTCATAAGTTATCAGTTATTAGTAATTAGTTATTACTAATGTTAATTTCTAATAATTGTACTATGATTGTGTAAGATGTCAACGGGAAACAGTGTATTGTCCATGGGAATACTATTCCATATTTTTGCAACATTACACATATTACATTTACAATTAATTAGAATAAAATGTTTTTTTTAAAAAAAAAAACTTAAGTATGTACAATTTGAACAAGATCCTCCTTCTACGACACATAGGTCGTTCTGTGGGCGAGGCTCACGGAAAAGTGGAGGAGGCCTGGAAAAGCGAAGGTGACACCCTGCTTGCCGTGCGCTTCTTTTCGCATATCTACGACACAAGCCTCAACCGTTTCCACAGAAAGGGAGCAGTGCGAAGCGGCGGCGTTTGAGCCACGGGGCGGGCCGTAGCGCTAGGCCTGAAGCGGTGGCGCGCCAGCGGGCGAAGAGGTTTGGTTGCGGCCGCGTAGGCCGCGTTAAGCTGTCGCTGCAGCTGTTCTCGACGGCAGTCTGTGCGGCCCGCTATCGCCATGTCGTCGGTGAGCCCCATCCAGATTCCCAGTCGCCTCCCGCTGCTGCTCACCCACGAGGGCGTCCTGCTGCCAGGCTCCACTATGCGCACCAGCGTGGACTCGGCCCGCAACCTGCAGCTGGTGCGGAGCCGTCTGCTCAAGGGCACATCGTTGCAGAGCACCATCCTGGGCGTAATCCCCAACACGCCCGACCCTTCCAGCGACGCGCAGGACCTGCCGCCGCTGCACAGGTAGGCCGAGCAGCCCAGGCGGCGGGCGGCGGGCGGCGCAGCGTCCTCCCGGGGCACCCGGCCAGGCCGGGGCCGGCCCTGCAGTGCGGAGCCTCGGAAGGGCCCTTCGAGGTTCTTCCCTGCCTCTTACTCTGTTTTCTTCCGTATAGAAGGGTGATAACGTGTCTCGAGAAGCTGCCGCCCTTAATAATTTGACCGGAATTCCCCAACCACTCCCAAGTGTTCTGATTCTACGAAGTCCAGTGCTTTTAGTTTTCTAAACCCTTTTCCCGCTTGTTGATGATCTCTTTTCCTCTTGTCTGTCTTTGTCTTTTTTTTTTCCTACTCTACGCGTTTGCTATTTTTCCAGCCCTTCTCTAAGCTGCTAAGTCATCTGACTGCTAACCAGAAGGTTGGTGGTTCAAACCCACCAGCCACTCTGCGGAAGCCAGACTGGACAGTCTACTTGCGTAAAGATTTACCACCTCGGAAACTCTGTGGAGGGTCGCTGTGAGTCGGAATGACTCGATGGCAGTGGGTTTTTTTCTTCTAAGCTGCATCTCCTTAACATTTTTTATTGTGGTAAAATTTACACAACATTTAAGTTGCTCTTTTAACCATTTTCAAGTGTGCAATCCAGTGACCTTGATCGTACTCAGAACATTGTGCAACCATTCCCACTGTTTATTTCCAAAACATTTTCTTCACCTCAAACATAAACTCTGTACTCAATTACGTAATAGCTCTTCATTCTGCCCGCCCCCGGCCCATGATAAGCACGATCTATGCAGCTTTTCATATAAATATTTCATATAAATGAGGTCATAAAACTTTTGTCCTTTTGTGTCTGACTTATTTTACTTAGTTACTGTTATCAGAGTCCATCCATGTTGTAGCATGAACTTCGTTCCTTTTTATGGCAGAATAGTTGTCCACTGTACATACAAGGAGCTCTGGTGGCATAGTGCCTAAGGCATTTGACCGCTAACCACAAGGCTGGTGGTTCAAACCCACCAGCCACTCCTTGGAAGGAAGACTGGGCAATCTACTTCTGCAGAGATATTGCCTCAGAAACCCAAGGAGGGGTGGCTGTGAGTCGGAATCGACTGGAGAGCAGTGAGTTAGTTTTTTATTTGGTACTAGCTGTGCCATGGGATAAAGATGTGGCAGTCAGCTTCTGTAAAAATCTAGTCTTGCAAACTCCATGGGACAGTGTTACTGTATCCTTTGGGGTTGTTATGAGTAGAAATTGGCTGGGCTGCAATGGGTTAGGTATACTTTTGCAGGTGTACATCGCTTAATATCTATCAACTTTCAACCAAGGCTGTGTATGTCTGTGGTCCCATAAAGGTTTTTTTTTTTTTTAAAAGGGAAAGCAACTTTTTTTGTTGTTTATTTCTTGCTAAAAGGAGCTCTGGTAGCATAATGCCTAAGGCATTTGACTGCTAACCAGAAGGCTGGTGGTTCAAACCCCTCAGCCACTCCTCAGAAGGAAGGTTGGGCAATCTACTTCTGTAGTGGTACTGCCTCAGAAACCCACGGAGGGGTCGCTGTGAGTCAGGTCTGACTGGATGGCACATAACAACAACACAATGGTTTTAAAGACTCCAAACTCAGACTCTTGCAGCACTAGGCCACTGATGGGATATAGGCAGGTGGGGCTAGAGGACATTGCTCTGGGCCTGGGATTTGGGGCTTAGACGGAACAGCAGGTGGGACAGAGCGTGCTCTGTCCTTCTGCCTCCCTTCCTCTCACTCTGCGGCCACCACCAGTTCCTCCAGCCTCCACCAGCAGCTCCAGCAGGGCAGTCTCCTTTTAATAATGGTGTTTGCACAGTGTCTGAATCACATAACATCCTATTGATAGAATTGTGGACATTACGTGATGCGTACCTGTATATAGTAAAACTTGAGGAAGCCGGAAACTGTGTAACGCAGAGACCTGTCAGAGAAGGAAAATTCACTACCGTGAAGCCGGTAAGAGCCAGAACTTGACAGGACTGCCTTGTTTTTCTGAGTCTCAAACGTTTTCCACCTTTGACAGGGTGCAATCTTAACACTTTTCTGTTGCTTGTTTTAGTAGAACGTATTTTGAGTTTTCCTTCTCTGACAGGTTTCCAGCATACACAGGTTCTGGCTTTCTTAGGTTTTACTGTATTTTCCACTAAAATGAGTGATAAAAACGTGGCAGGACTGCACCCCGTCAAAGGTGGAAATCTTGTGAAACCTGGAGAACCCAGGCAGCCCCGTCGAGTTCTGGCTTTCAAAGGTTTCATTGTGCCACATTTTGTGTGTCTACTCATCTGATGATGGACACTGGGGTGTTTTCCACTTTGGGGCTATTGTGAATGATGCTGCAGTGGACATTGGTGCACAGGTTATCTCAGTCCCTATTTTGAATTTTGCCTATAGCCCCAAGAGTGGTGGTGCTGGATCATGTGGTAATTCTGTGTTTAACTTTTGAGAAACCACCAGACTTGTCCACAGTTTTATGTTCTGCACAGTTTTACATTCTCTCCAGCAATGGAGGGAGAGTTCCTGTTTCTCTACATCCTGGAGCCTGGACTTGTTCATTACTGAGGTTTTTGTTTTGCTTTTTTATAATAGCCACCCATGATTTTGCTTTGCCTTTCCCTAATGAACATCTTCCCTTCTGTTAACTTTTTGAGTGCCTTTCTTTTATATTCCCTGCCTCCCCTTTCTTCCCCTGGTACTTCTGTTTTCCTTCTTAAAGGGTCTTTTTTTAAAAAAATTTGTATTGTGCTTTGGGTGAAAGTTTACAGAGCAAATTGACTTTCCATACAGCAGTTCATATACACTTTGTTTCAGAATATTGACTGCAGTTTCCCACAATGCCACAGCTCCCCTCCCACTTCCTCCCCATAGTTACCTCTTCCCTCCCATGTACTCCTGCCCTTCTATTCTCCCAGGATTGATCTCTCCAAGGAGTATATCTACCTAATGTAAATAAATGTTCAGCTGATGTGCCTGTCTTTTGTTTGGCTGGAAGCCACAACAGTGGGTTCAGTTTTAGACCTGAAGGGCAACTAGGGGCTATAGTCTCAGGGGTTTCACCAGGCTTTATCAGACCAGCAAACCTGGTCCCTTTTTTTTTTTTAATGATTTTGAGTTTTGTTCCACATTGTTCTCCCACTCTATCCAAGATCTCCTACATAGATCCCCCTCTGAGTGGTTGACAGTGGTAGCCGGGCACCATCTAGTTCTTCTCGTTTTACACTCATATAGGCTGAGGATTGCATGGTGGTGGTGGTGGTGTTGTTAGAGGCCGTCGAATCATCTCCGACTCATAGCAACCCTGTGTACAGCACAACGAAACACTGTCCAGTCCTGTGCCAACCTCACAATCCCTACTATACCTGAGCCCATCGTTGGAGCCACCTTGTCAGTCCATCTTGTTGAGGGCCTTCCCCTCTTTCGCTGACCCTCCACTTTGCCAAACATGACATCCTTCTCCAGAAAAGGATCCCTTCTGACAACATGACCAAAGTAGGTGAGACGAAGTCTGGCCATTCTCGCTTCCAAGGAGCATTTCGGCTGCACTTTCAAGACAAATTTGTTAGTTCTTGTAGCAGTCCACAGTGCTTTCAGCATTCTTTGCCAACACTACAACTCAAAAGCATCAATTCTTCTTCAGTTCCTTGTTCATTGTCCAGTTCTCACATGCATATGTTGTTAGTGCTGTTGAGTCGGACCCGATTCACAGCGACCCCTCCTTGGGTTTCCGAGGCAGTATCACTACGGAAGTAGATTGCATGAGGGGATTAAAAATACCATGGCTTGGGTCAGGTGCATCTTAGTCTTCAAAGAGACATTTTTGCTCTTCAGCACTTAAAAGAAGTCTTTTGCAACAGATTTGCCCAAGGCAATACGTCTTTTGATGTTTTGACTGCTGCTTCCATTGGCATTGATTGTAGAACCAAGCAATATGAAGTCTTTGACAACTTCAGTCTTTTCTCCATTTATTGTGATGCTGCTTATTGGTCTAGTTGTGAGGATTTGTGTTGTCTTTATATTGATGTGTAATCCATACTGCAGAATACAGTCTTTAATTTTCGTCAGTAAGTGCTCCAAGTCATCCTCACTTTCAGCAAGCAAAGTTGTGTCATCTGCAATATCAGGTTGTTAATGATTCTTCCTCCAATCTTGATGCCACGTTCTTCTTCTTCATATAGTCCAGCTTCTCAGATGATTGGCTCAGCATATAGATTGAATAAGTATGGTGAAAGGACACAACCCTGACACACTTTCTTCTTGACTCTAAACCATGCAGTGTCCCCTTGTTCTTTTAGAATGACAGCCTCTTGGTCTATGTACAGGTTCCTCATGAGTAGAATTTGATGTTCTGGAATTCCCATTCTTCTCAATGTTATCCACAGTTTGTTATGATCTACACAATCCAATGCCTTTGCATAGTCAATAGAACACAAGTAAGCATCTTTCTGGTATTCTTTGCTTTGAGCCAGAATCCATCTGACATTAGCTATGATGTCCCTCATACCACATCCCCTTCTGAATCCAGCTTGCATTTCTGGAAGTTTTCTGTCTATATACTGCTGTAACTGTTTTTAAGGTAGCATAGTGCCTAAGGCATTTGACTGCTAACCAGACGGCTGGCGGTTCAAACCCACCAGCCACTCCTCAGAAGGAAGATTGGGCAATCTACTTCTGTAGTGATACCACCTTGAGAACCCAAGGAGGGGTTGCTATGAGTCAGGTCCGACTCAACGGCACATAACAACAACAACAAGATTTTACTTGCATGTGATATTAATGATATTGTTCGATAATTCACATATGCTGTGGGATCACCTTTCTTTGGAATGGGTACAGATACGGATCTCTTCCAGTCACTTGGCCAGGTCGCTGTCTTTCAAGTGTCTTGGCATAGATGAGTTAGTGCCTCCAGTGCAGCATCCGTTTGTTGAAACATCTCAGTGGGTATTCCGTCATTTCCCAGAGCCTTGTTTTTCGCCAGTTTCTTCAGTACAGCTTTGACTCTT